TGTTCACGGAGAACATATTTGATTTTTGCAATTATCTTCTAATTTCCAAATTTCATATCTTAAACAGTCATTGAACACTTATAAATAGACGGTTTTGCTATGAAGCCAACAGTTGGCTCAATAGTAGAGTCAACCTTCTATATATAACAAATAAACTTACCATATTAATAAAATTATATTAGTATTATTTAAGTAATCAAAAAATATGATAAATTTACTTGTTGTATAGAAAAAATTAGCTCCACTATGGAGCCAACTGTTGGGCTCATAACAAAACCGTATAAATAGAATAACACCCAATAAATTTCTCTTCTTGTTAACCAATTTCAATCTATTTTTTTATTTAATAAGATGTCCTTCGCTATTTGGGCTATATTCTCAATGAGTGAAAATTGTTGGTTCAAATATTTTGTGGAAAAAAATTGTATGAAATGCATTAAACCTTCACCTTTCATAAACATTAGTAGCTGTATTTTCAATACAATTAAACTGCCAAATAGCTCAAGTGCACTTATATTAAGTACTTCAACAGCAAAAGAGGGTAAATACATATGATTCAACAAAGCACACAAACACTAGGGAAAAAAATTGGATCTAGAATGTTGGCAGTTATCCTTATAATACTGTACAATCGCGATAAATTGGACATCTGCAAAATAGTACGAGTCGACCAAAGAACCCTCCAAAATCTATATACTTCCCCTAATTTGCAACTTAGAAGCCCTACAAAGATGTGATTTGCCTTACCTATTATTCACCAGCTCCATTGCAAGAGTTTTGGCGAGCTTCAAACTGTCGAGCCTCTTTCCGAAATCTTCTTCATTGTTCAATGCAAGATTTATGTGAAAGAAAAACTCCCTGTAACCCTCCTCAACTTCTCCTAAGATCTCTTCATGTCCTGATTTTTCGATGGAAATTCTAATGTTCGATAGCAGCTTGTTTTTCTCTCTTTTGCGTACTTCTGCTTCTAATCTTGCTGCCATTTCAACAGCACGTCTAATGCACGAGGAAGGTAACTGCANAAAAAAAAAAAAAAAGGCATATCAAACATACCCAGTTGTCTATCAATAATGAGTTCATTCACAAATCCAAGAGAAGGCAGCCTTTTTTGAATAAGTTAATGCGGAAGCTTTAAGCCTATAAGAGTTAACAAAGACCCATTCGATGCTTATATTTATCTACCAGATATGATTCCAATTGGTAAGATAGAACACTCGTTATTAGGGAAAAAAAGGTCAAATCTTATGATAAACCAAGAAAAAATATAGACAGCTCACCTGCGCAAGCTCCGCAACCTTAAACCCGAAACTTCTCTCAGAAACACCATGAACAAGTTTGTAAAGGTAGGTGACATCATCATGCTCCGGGTCAACGTCAAAGTCAACATCCGTCTCTTTTTGTGGCGTCAAATAAGAAACATAGTATGCCTCCACAGAGCCCGGGAATTCATTTTTTACGTCAACTATTTCAGGATAGTGAGTCACGAACAGGACCATAGATTTCTTGTGCTGCAAAAGATAGTGCAAGGTAGCATATGCAATTGCCACACCATCATGTGTGCTCGTGCCTCGCCCGAGCTCATCTATTATGATCAACGAACGAGATGTGCTGTGCTCGAGTATATGAGATGTCTCGCTTAATTCTTCCAAGAAAGTGCTTTTCCCGAGCTGAATGCTATCGGAGGCTCCCATTCGGGTGTAGATGCCGTCCAGCACGTGCAGCCTTGCTGATGATGCCGGCACAAAGCAGCCGATCTAGGAAAAGAATAAAATGAAAATGAGAGAGAGAGAGAGAGAGAGAGAGAGAGAGAAACGAAAAAAGCTAAGGGTGTGATTGGATATGGATTTGATTGGTTTTTTGGTTAACCATAGTAAATTCTGAAAAATGCGGTATAGTTAGTTGTTGGTGGGATTTTGAGTTCATATTAAAATCTATCTACTATATAATTAGGTAACAAATCTACTAAAAATAGAAAGTCTTTTTGTGGGTCCCATTATATATTACTATAAATGGAATGTTTTCTATCCAGTGCCACATGTCAAAAAACAAAAACTGTATTTCTGTTAGGAAGTTTTAAAAGTGGGGCCCGAATGTATTTTTGTTTATTGAAGACAGTTTCAATTTTCAAAGGTGAAGTGTGTTTTAACTTTATTTTTTCGTTATATTTTAAAACTATTTTTATTTATTTTGCAAGTATAAAATGAGCTGTAATGAGTCAGTTAGAGCATCTCCAAGAGACTTCTTATTTTAGACTTCTTATTTGAAGAAATAAGGAGTCATCCTATATCCATTTGCTTCCTATTTTCGGTTGTTCTCCAAAAGTCTCCCTATTTTATAATTTGAATATGTACCAGGCCCACAAATCTATCTAAAAGCCCACTTGAAGCCCGCTTGATATTGTAATTGTTAACGATTATAATAGTAATTAACTAATTTTATAATATTCACTAATTTTTTTAATTATTATAATTAGTAATTTATTATTAATTATTTTTTATAATTTTTCCTTTATTAATATAATATTATTTATTTTTAGATTATTATTATTATTATACTAATTGTTATTATAATTTATTAATTTTTAATCAAATAAATTATTTGTTTGAACAATTTTTATTTTTTTAATTTTTTAATTTTAATTATTATTATTAGTAATTTATTATTAATTATTTGTTATATTTTTTCATGTATTAATATAATATTATTTCTTTTTAAATTATTATTATTATTATTATTATTATTATTATTATTATTATTATTTGAAATGGGGGGTCGTTTTTCCCTCCCCAGAAATGAGGAAGAGAAACTTCTATTTGAGGTCACCCTAAAAATAAGACCAAGTTTAGGGGAACTGTTGGAGACAGTTTTTGAGAGAAAATCCCTATTTTTGAGAAAAAAGAGAAATAGGGAGGCTCTTGGAGATGCTCTTATAATGTATATTAAATATTATGTAAAGTGATACGACATAAAAATTTTATTGTATCTATACAATTAACAAATAAATTTATTATTAATATAAAGAAATAATTTTTTCATATGGAGATGTGTTGGTTAATTTTTTTTTCTTCAATCTATTTTATTTTTATTTTTTAATTTATGTATTCTGTTTTTCTTGAAACTAATCGAAAATTTTAATTCTAACCGCCCATGTGTTAAATTCATTTTTCTTCTTTAAAAAATGTAAAATTTTAAATACTTACAAACTATGTATCCAACAAAAATAATCTAAATTAATTATTTAAATACAATTAGAGATACTCTAATAGTTATTACAGTCAAAATATTTATTGTAATTAAAAAAATTATGATTTATCAATTTTCAATATGGGCATTCCATACGATTGAATATAATTTATTGCCTTCCCAATGAATAATGAATATCCTGAACAAAAAAGGATATCAAAAACAAGGTATGAAATTGTTATATGTACCATTTTGTTACAGTAGGGCTAGCACTATGAATTAATTAACTTACATTCAACTAATTTAATTTTTTATCATTAATTAATTTATATATTGTATACAGGACTTGCAGTATGAATTAATTAATTTGCATCAATGCATTTAATTTTTTGTCATGATATGTTTTAGGGGAGATTCTACGGTTCTGTTACAAAACCATTCCGTCGGGATTTGTAACTGTTAGATCAACTATTCACGACGGTTACATTATAATCTTACGGTTACAAATCTCGACGAAATGGTTCCGTAACGGAACCATAGAATCTTTCCTAAAATAGATTATGAATGATACTTTAATTTCACAACAGTTCTGCAATACGTACTATGTTACATATACTCGAATTCCTTTCATTCAATCAATTTCTTCAACATGAATTAAACAAAGTGGTCAAGGTTTGTCTTATTGTACATGACTTTGAGGTGATCTTTTTTTAAATAAAAAAAAAAAATAGTTGATTATTCATAAGTGCCATGGTTTTTGTAATGTCTACAAACTTATATTTTTTTTAAGTACAAAATTCATGATTGAAGTGGAAAACATTAAGAAGTTGAATACAAGAAAAAAGGCAATAGAAGTAATAATATTTGAATGTATAGTTTTTGTATGTCCTTTGTACTTTTCTAAATAAAACAACTTTTTATTTCTTAGCACAACAATTTCGTTCTTGCGTAATTTCAATGTATTAATTTATGTTTGGTATTGGTATATAGCACAATTTTTTTGTTGTTCTGGATTATATCAATTTAATATGATTGTTCAATATGAATTATCATGGTTAGTTTTATGTTGACGATTGCTTTGTATTATTATGAACATGAAAATAATTAAAAATATTAATGCGACGGTCGTCCTCTTACAAACAAAAAGAACATGGATAAAAAGAAGTATTGCATAATATTTATCTTTTATTTGCATGGTTATACTTTGTTTATTGACGTCAAATTCTTTTAGTATGTCCCGTGCATTTGCGCGGGCAACAATACTAGTAATAATTAAAATAAAATAATTAAATTTGATATGATGTAAAAGTAGGAGAGAGATGATAATGAAACGATGGTTAGTTAAAATTATGTGAGTGGATGAATAGTGAATTAAAGTTGATATAATGTGTAAGAATGATTGAGTGGTATTATTTAATTATATTGATAATATTGAGGATAGTAGGGTGAAGTTAAAGTTGAGGTTAAAAAAAGTGATTGAGTTAAAGTTTAGTTTAAAAAACGTGGTGATAGGGATGAAAGAAAATGTGCAGTGTATTTTCAGAAAATTTTGTGTCCTCTCAGGGACTTCGGAGAAGCAAACAAAAGTAAGTGAAAAATTTAATTTTTAGAATCGGATCACATAAATCTTTTGCATATTCAAAAAGACTTTATGGAAGGGCTTCGTGGTTCTTTAACCTTTTTTTTTCCTCTGTTTCTCTTTCCTGAAATCAGGCTTTAGAATGGTTTTCGGTGATTTTTCATCCTTCATCTCGATCAGTAACAATTATTTTCACTCAATCCAGAAAGAGAAAAAATATAATTGAAAAGGAGATAGAAGGATGACTTATTAAGGGTATAATTATAATTAACAAATTTTGCTGACTGAGGTTTACATATACCTGAGCCATGAGAGCTATAAGAGCAACTTGGCGAATATAGCAACTCTTTCCACCCATATTCGGCCCAGTGACAATCTGACAGTACTGCCCCTCGGCATGCAAATTCGTATCATTGGGAACAAAATTATCCTGCAAGATGTTCTCCATAACCTGAAAACGATCAACAGGAGAATCAATAAACACGTAACAATAAAATTCGCATATATTCACTGCTTTGGTACAAATATAACCAGTAGCTAGTTCATACCCATAATTACGAATTAGTATCTATAAGTAAAAACTTAACCAAGCACTGGTACACAAAAAGGTAAAATCTAAGATGTAGATTGCGTACAGGATGTCGACCGGATTTGATCTCAATCTGAACGGGCTCATCATCACTGGTAAAAACAGGGCGAACATAATTCTGCACATCACCACAGTAAAATTAGTTAAACTGAAA